TTTAAATCCTATTAATTCTATTTAAAAGTTTATCAATTTTTTATTTTATTATATATATTTTTAAAAAATAAAATACTTTAACATTTAATGACATTCTATGTTATAAATAAGATCAAAATAAATATATTCTCTTTACCTGATAAATTAAAAAATAATACTCCCTCTATTTAAAAATATAAAGTATTTTTTTAAGAGTTGGATGTTTAAAAATATAAAATATTTTTAGTCTTTCGAGGTGTAATTATTATCTTTTTTTAAAAGTGTATTTATTGATAGTGACTTTATATTATTGTAGGATATTTAATAGGGATAAAAATAAAAAAATTGAGCTAATTTGAAAGTAAATAACTGCTTATTAGAGGGTAGATTCAATTAAAAATGTTTTATCTTTTTTTAATGAAAGAAATATCTTAAAAAACTATTTATACATTTTTTTATTTCAAAAATTATATTTCAGTTGCTTTATTATGTATTCTTAACACTAATTCTACACAGGAAAAAATATATTTTGAAAAAAAGGGTAAATCATCTACATTAAAGGACACGAATTTCTAAAATTATTATGAATGACCCTCGACCAGGTCCTAAAAAATTACGATAACTAGATTGCCTTCAGCGTCACTGATAAAGTAACAATCTCTAAATGATAAATTTTAATATTGAAACTTGTAAATTTGAGTTTTTTGAGTGCTAGATTTTAAAAGTTTGGGGAACTAACTATAGTGATCAAGTCCTAAAATAATTTCTTGTTGTAATAAATAGAATTTATTGCAAATTAGATTTCACAAATTATGAAGAAATATTAGTTGGAGACAATTACAACCTAACTATCTTTTCGCTTGGTTTTGAAAGTAAAGTCTAAAGTGTCATGCTTCTTATTGATTTGCCAAGCATGCTAAAGAAATAGATCATCAAAAGAGTAACTTAGATCAAGCGATTGTGTGAGTTTTTTGAGATTATTTACCATAATTTTCTTAGAATGCCAAAGAAATATAATAAACAGAGGTACACCAAGTGAAGCAAAAAAATCAATTACATTACAAGAGTGCGAGTACAACTCAAATGGAACAACAAAGCAATGACTAGCTTCGGAAATCTAAGACAATGTGAATAGAGTGAGTCATAATGAACAAATTTGGGTGACACTGGGTTAGGATATTGAATCTCTGTGCCAAGCAAGTTGAGTTGATTCTGGGTTGATTATGCAGAATATCAAAAGATCCTGAGTTATATGCTCGTTACTTATTTATAGAAAAAGACAACAGCGCACTCCTTCAATTTGAATTCAAGCACTTAAAAGTAATAAGTAACTGTTCACGTCATTAGTTTAGCTTATGATGTGCCTTATTGTGTAGATATTTCTTAGGTAATGGAATAAAGTGGATGAGAACAGGCTGTGAATTCCCCAAAAAGCAGTGTTCTACTTAGCATTTAACGAAGCAAGCTGGTTAACTGATGGACTCTCATCTTACGAAATTGATTGGGGTCTCAGGGCCAAAACCAATCAAAACACCATTTTTAAATTTGTGCTCATGATGATCTAAAATTATATACTCTCAAAATTATTAAAAATATTAAAAATCTCATCATGAGAAGTTGAGAGGTCACTCTAAAACATGTTTATAGAGAAGCAAACCGCTCTGTTGATCTTTTTAGCCTACAAGGCTCTAGCGAACATTTTGATATTATTTTGTTTGACGACGCTCCAATAAATTGTATAAACATTTTGTCTTCTAACATGACCTAACCTTGGTCTTTTTGAATGATATTTTTACCATGGTTTTGTATTAAAAAAAAATTGTGTTCAAGAGACCTAATTTTCATTCCTCCTTCTTCTTACTTATTACTCGTTACCATCCACAATATGGTATTGATAACTATTTCACTAGTATAAAAAATAAAGTTCATTGAAACGTCAATCTTTTAATAAAATTTTATACCTTTTTAATTATATCTAATTAAATATCTAATTTTTGAGTCTTAATAGTAACTATAAAAATTTTAATGAACTATTTTTTAAAAGAAAGATAAATGAGTAATTTTAAATAAATTATAAAAATCATCTAATATCTTTTATTTTGAACTAAGATTTAAAAAAAATGCTCTATGTTATGAACATAATAAATATGTTTAGGGGAGACTTTTAAATAATGATTAGGGATGTGATTTAATTATGAGTAGGACTCAAAATATTTTAAAACTTCAGCTCAATTTAGGGGGGATAAAAGAGAAAATAATTTCAACTATAAAAAAAATTAAAGTACCTTTCATTTGTTATGCAGAATCATTGATTATTAATTTTTTTTATTTTATTTATTAATTTAATAATATGAGTTATAAATTACATAAGTTAGCATATCAATGATTATATAAAACTTGACACAAGTTGTTCAATTATAAGTAGCAACGTCGGTTGTTAAATTATTAATTTTACTTATTAATTTATCAATATTAGTTATAAATTATTGATAAATCCTATAATTTACTAACATTAATTATAAATTATTAATATATATTATAATTTATAACTGATATTAGTACATTAACAAAAACAGTTAAGAAATTAATAATTAATGTTACTACTTGCTTGATAAACATATTTAATTTATAAGTAATATTGATAAATTAACAAATAAAGTAAAAAATTAGTTAATAATTGTATGACAAATGAATGATATTTCGGTCATTTTACAGTTGAAATTATTTTTAATTATTTTTACTTCTATCTTCTTAAATTGAATTGAATTTTTTAAATTTTTCATAACTTACTAATAATAATTAAGTCACATCTTTTATCTTTATTTAAAATTCTCCCTATATTTTAAAATTAATGACACATATTTTTGCAAAAAAAAAAATATTACAAAAAAATAATATTGTTAAATGTTAAAATTATGGTTTTTAAAATTAGATCGATCGGTTGAATTGATAAACTAATAACCCAAGCATATGTCCAGTTCAGTTTTATATTTTTTGCCATTAGCAACCTAGATGACATAGAATTAATTCAAATTAACCCGTCCAAGCCTAATGCATATTAGATATTTTACATTTTTCAACCCCAAAAATGACTAGTTAGAAAATAAATAAAAAATCAAAAATCTTGTCCGTCCGTGACTTCTCATTTGTTATCTTTGAGCTTTAACCATCTCGGCATTTTGTGGGTCTCTGTTTTGAAATCTCGTCATCCTTATCTCCTGATGCTGCTTGTGTGCTCGCCCAGTAGAAGAAGATGAAAAAGTAAAAAGATGAAAGAAGACAGAAGAAAAGAAAAAAAAAAATAATTTAATTTTTTTATTTTTAACTCATTTAAACCTTAATTTTTTAACTATAATTTATCATAACACAGTCTTTTAAGTATATACGATTCAATTTTTTAATTTTTGACACATTTTTAATTTAACTTTATTTTTTAATTATTTTTAAAAAATTATTCTCATAGAATAAAAAAGATAAAAAATATTTATATCTTATTTTAAAATACTCTCATTTATTTTTAATATAATATCTAAATTAATATGAAAAAATAAAACTAATAAAAATTAAAAAATTAAATTATAAATAAATTAAAAGTTAAGAGATTGAGTTATAAATAAATTAAAAATTAAAAAATTGAATTAAAATTAATGATGATTGAGAGACAGGTAAATTAAAAATTAAATAATTAAAATATTATTATTATTATTTTTTAAAAAAGACATGCTAGATGTATGCCAAATCTGCATGGCTTGCAATTTGCAAACCCAGATCAGAGCAGGGAACCAGCCTTCTATCCGAGCCGGTTTCTTGCTTTTTTGGGAGGCGGAGTTAACCCGAGCTAACACGGGTGACTCGAGATCAACTTGAACCAGCCCGCTCAGCTCAATAGATTAGGCAGGTTGACCGGGCTGAAGATTTACCTAGACCAAACGATTCGGACGTGCACGTTCTCTTGATTCCTTTCTTCTTGTTCGTCTTCAGCATCATCCTTTCTTCTCGTCTCGTCTGCTGCTTCTTTGTCTTCCGCAGCTTCACGATCCTGGCGCATAGCTTCATCCTTTCTTCTCATCTGAAGCTTCTTCCCCTGCACGTTGTCCTCTTCCACCGTGCTCTTCCATGGGTTTCTCTTCTCAGTTCAAATTTTGGTCCCCAAAAAAAAAAAAAATTAGATGTCCCATCGCAAGGCAGATAACGAGTCAAGGGGCAGAAGTAGCCTGTACAGCTTTATTTTCCTCTGCTTCGGACAGACGCTGCAGGACAAACTCACAGTAGGAGGCTCCTGGGTAATCGCATAAAAGTTTAAAAAAAAAAAAAAAAAAAGCTCTCAAAAGAAAAAATAGAAGAGAAAAACGTTAGAAAGGTGAGGCTTGTTAATTGGCCAAGTCTAATGAACATCGTAACGCAGGAAGCAAGAGAAATTATGAATTATTGTTGTTGTGTTTTATTATTATTATTATAAGAATTATTATTGCATATTTTATAAAATATTAAGTCTCAGATCGATATAAATAAATGAATATGATTAAGAATTAATTTATTTTTATTTAAAATATATTATTTTATAAAGACCGGTTTAACTCTTAACCTCTAATCCTTAATTTTTGTTAGTTTAGTTTTTAACACCTTGTAAATTTAACACGAGCGAGAAGATTAAAAAAATATTAAATAATATAGAGCAAGAAAAAAGAAATTTAAATTTCAAAAGCTCAACGTATTCACATTTTTTAATAACATACGTCACCTACAAATAAGTACAGGACTATATACATTTTAAATTTCTTAAAAAAAAAAAAAAAACTAGACATCAATTATTTTTATCAAATATTTATTATTTATTATGTACTAAAAATATATTGTTTTAATTATGATTTGCTTAATTTTAATTTGACTCTCAATTTGACCCGAGTGAAGCCTTAATTTCTAACCCCCGACTTTCATCTTCAACTCGCGTGTCAAATACAAGATCACATGCTCATTTAATTTTTGATTTTGCCTTTTTCGGTTTTTCTGGTGAACCTGTCCCTGCACCTAATTCCGCATGCAATACCGATCTGCATTTGAAGCTTTTCCATTTCTCTCTGGTCTGGTCTCTGTGCTGAGCTCTGAGCAGCCATGTCTAAGCCTCACATCCTCATGTTCCCCCACCCTGCACAAGGCCATCTTCTTCCTCTTCTCGATCTCGCTCACCAGCTAGCTCTCAGAGCCTTCACCATCACCATCATCGTCACTCCCAAAAACCTCCCCACCATCCACCCTCTTCTCTCCGTCCACCCCGCCACCATTCAGACCCTCCTTCTTCCTCTCCCTTCTCACCCCACTCTCCCTCCCGGCGTCGAAAACGTCCGAGACCTCGGCCAGATGGGAAACACCCCCATCATCGCCGCTCTCTCCAAGCTTCATGATCCAATCATCCACTGGTTCAAGTCCCACCCTTCGCCGCCTGTTGCCATCATCTCCGACTTCTTCCTCGGCTGGACCCTCCGGCTCTCCCGCCAGCTGGGGATTCCCAGAATCGGTTTTTTCTCCTCCGGTGCGTTCTTGACCTCCGTCACCGACATCTGCTGGAAGAATCCTGAGGCCTTTCGAAATCGGAAGGAAGTGGAATTCTCTGATATTCCCGGAAAACCGTCTTTTAAGCAGGAGCATCTTCCTTCTATGTTTCTGGGATACAAGGAATCGGATCCTGATTGGGAGATCGTAAAAGAGGGTTACTTGGCGAATATGGAGAGTTGGGGTTCCGTTTTCAATAGCTTCCATGCTCTCGAGGGTCCGTATTTGGATTATCTGAGGACAGCATTGGAACACCGTCGACGGGTTTTCGCGGTTGGCCCCTTGAGCTTGCTCGGACCCGACAACCGCACAGGTCGGGGAAACCCGAATCAGGAGGCTAACTCCGATGTTCTCAGCTGGCTTGATGGGTGCCCCGATGGTTCAGTGTTGTACGTGTGCTTCGGGAGCCAGAAGCTGCTCAAGAGAGAGCAAATGGAGGCTCTAGCAGTCGGGTTGGAGAGATCCGAGACTCGATTCGTTTGGGTTGCGAAGCCGGTCACGACCCAGCAACAAATGGAGGAAGGATACGGGATGGTCCCCGACGGGTTTGAGGATCGGGTAAAGGGTCGGGGGTTCGTTGTAAAGGGTTGGGCGCCCCAATTGGCAATACTGAGTCATCGAGCGGTTGGTGGGTTTCTGAGTCACTGTGGGTGGAACTCTGTGTTGGAGGCCATGGTGGCCGGAGTTATGATTCTGGGGTGGCCCATGGATGCTGACCAGTTCGTGAATGCGAAGCTATTGGTGGAAGATAAGGGTGTTGCGGCGACAGTGTGCGAGGGAGCGGATTCAGTGCCCGACCCGGATGAGTTGGGTCGGGTGATAAGGATGTCAATGGGTGTGGATAGTCCGGAAAAAGAAAGAGCAAAGCAGCTCAGTCGTGAAGCCCTCGGATCGGTGACTGGCGAGGGAAGGTCCTCCAAAGAACTTGATGACTTAGTGGAAGCATTGATTGAATTAAATGTTTCTAGAGTCAAGTAGACGTTGAAATTTGATTCAAAGATTAAAAAAAGAAAGTAAATGTTGGAAGAAAAAATGTTCAGTATTTTTATTTCTAGCGAATAATATAATTTAATTTTATCGATGTGTCTGATTTTGGTAGAATGGATTTACAATATTACTTTTGCTCAGAGTCAGAGATATGCATTGTGTCATTATTATGGAAACAAATTATTATATCATACAATTACTTGAATAATTTTTTAGAAAACAAACTCTTTAAACTTGAATAAAAACTAGTATTAGTCTTTCAAGTTTCGCAAAATTTTAGACTTTTCCTATGATTGCTCAATCTCAAGATTTTATTTTAAATTCTCTGGGCGGTGGGCGTTTGTGTATGGTCTTGTGCAATTGAGGTTGCTCGTTCCATAGCCCAAGTTGGACTAGAAATAAGAGCCCATTGAAGCATATGAACCAACAATGAAGCCTAATATCACTAACCGACAATCACATACTAGAGTCAGAGTATGATGTCAGCACGATGATGTCGCCAAAACACAACCATGTTAAAGTCGTCATCCAGCTATTCTGTCAGCCATTCAAATTTCAACCTCCTTTTTCCCATTCATCGTATTTCCTCTCGTTTTTATTTTTTAAATATGTATTTGGCCAATTATCGTTGTTTCCACGTTCAAGTCAACATTCTCCGACGGCTTTCTCCATCCTAGTTTCTCCCATCGTCGGCGAGAGAAGCCATGTCTAAACCTCACGTACTGGTCTTCCCGTACCCAGCGCAAGGCCACGTCCTCGCCCTCCTCGATTTGACCCATCAGCTTGTTCTTCGAGGTTTATCCATCACCCTCCTCGTCACTCCCAAAAACTATCCCTTCTCCGCCCTCTCTCCGTGCCCATGCTGCCGCCGTTCAGACCCTTGTACTTCCTTTCCCTTCACATCCCAAAATCCCTCCTGGCGTCGAAAACATCAGAGAACTCGGCAACGCCGGAAATTACTCCATGATGAACGCTCTCTCCCAGCTTCATGACCCAATAATCCAGTGGTTCAAGTCCCACCCCTCACCTCCTGTGGCCATCATCTCCGACTTCTTCCTCGGCTGGACTCTCAGTCTTTCCGATCATTTGGGAATTCCCAGAATCGCGTTTTACTCTGTGAGTGCTCTCCTGGCCTTGATTTGCAACTCTTGCTGGGAAAATACGCAGGCTGTTTGGGGTCAGGGAGTGATCGAGTTCTCTGACATGCCCGGAACGCCGTTGTTCAAGGCGGAGCATCTTCCTTCTATCGTTCGCAATTACAAGGAATCTGATCCTGATTCGGAGTTTGTGAAGGAGAGTTCTCTGGCGAATATCGTGAGCTGGGGTTGTATTTTCAATAGCTTCCGAGCTCTTGAGGGTCAGTATTTGGATTATTTGAGAACAACCGTTGAAGCATCCTCGGGTCTTTGTGGTCGGTCCATTGAGCTTGATCGGACCCGACGATGGCGGAGATCAAGCTAACCAGTATCCAGAAGGACACTCCGATTTGTTCAACTGGCTCGACGGGTGCCCCGACGGGTCTGTGTTATATGTGTGCTTTGGGAGTCAGAAGTTCCTCAAACGAGAACAAATGGCGGCTTTGGCAGCCGGGTTGGAACGATCCGAGACCCGATTCATTTGGGTCGTGAAATCGGGCACGCCACAACAGGTGGAGGAAGGATACGGCGTCGTTCCATACGAGTTTGAGGATCGGGTTTCCGGGCGGGGCTTTGTGATAAGAAGTTGGGTGCCACAGGTGCAGATACTGAATCACAGAGCTGTGGGAGGGTTTCTGAGTCACTGCGGGTGGAACTCGGTGTTGGAGGCCATAGTTGCCGGAGTCATGATTCTTGGATGGCCCATGGAGGCTGACCAGTTCTTGAATGCCAAGCTCCTGGTGGATGACGAGGGCGTCGCCGTCAGGGTGTGCGAGGGGGCGGATTCAGTGCCCGACCGGGAAGAGTTGGGTCGGATTGTAGCAAGATCAATGAGATCAGATTGCCCAGAAAAAGAAAGAGCTAAAGCGCTAAGAGACGAAGCTCATAACAGTATAAGTCGGCAGGGAAATTCTTGGAAAGAGTTGGACGAGTTAGTGGAAGCAATAACCCAACTTGATGCACGAAAGTGTGATACTTAGTTAAGAATCTCACATGCACACATATTGTGAGCTTGCGGGGCAGTAAAGGTGTATTGAAGACCAGAAGATAAGTGCTACGGAGGCATGGGTTTCAAATAAGTTAGCCCTCACGGTCAAACAGCAACATGATGCTGTTATTATAGGATGGGGTCTTTTTATTATTATTATTTTTTTTTACATGTAGACCTCGTTGAAATAACCTTTCAACTAAATTATGATATACACAAGAAATAATATTCGAATTATTTAATTGATGAAAACTCTTCCTACTCATGTCAATTTGAATTAGTTATAGGATGAAAAACTTTAGTCATGTCTAATCTATACAATACAATCTCAGCAGAGTTAAAAGCTCGTAGGTTTCTGATGTTGTGGATGTAACAGAGTATCCTATACAGTGTGCCCGGAAGAGTTGGGTCGGATCATTGCGGGGCCACTGAGTGCAAATAGTCCTGAAAAAGCAGAAAGGGCAAGGTTACTGAGAGATAAAGCCCGTGGAAGTATCAGTGACAAGGGAGAGCCGTACAAAGAGCCGTGAGCTTGTGGAAGCACCGGGTCAACTCGGTTCGCGAGGGTGATATTTGTGAACCTTCCATATATATGTATATATATTTAATTTATTTTATTTCAGTTATTATATTTTCCCCAATAAAAGCGAATTAGAAAGAAAATCCAAGTTGAAGCTTCCAAGTTTGTGGTTATTGTGGAATGTGACAGTGGGTCCTATATTATACTAATTTGAATCTGCATGTGTATGGTATTGGGCCACACCAGCACTTGTTTCTTTTAATCAAAACCAGTTTCTTCTCATGAATGCAATTGCTTCTGAAACCTGAGATGGGAACTACACCTTGTCTCCTTATAGAAATCTAACAAAGTGACAGTATTCTATTCATCAAGCCTTTTCTTTTTTGGTGGAAAATTACTCTAAGGTCCCTTGTAAGAATTTTAATTACCAAGAAGTTCATGAAATGTATAAAATACTTTTAAATTTTAAATTCTGTGCAATTACAATTTGATTAAAAAATGACAATTTAAGTATGATTTTAATATCAAGTTGTTATTTTCCTCTATTAAATTATAATTATAAAATTTAAATTTGACAACAATTTATACATTTTATGAAATTTTAAGTAATCGAAATCTTTATGTGGAACTTCTCAATAATTTGCCCTTTTTGTGCGTGCGCGCGCATTGTAATTGATATTTTAGACCTTTATATTCGAATTGAAGGGACTTAGTGGGGCCTTAATCTAGATTGAGCACTTGTAGGACCCTTTGGCGGCAAGCTCTACAATTAAATGTTTTATCTGATTGTATTTTTAGGATTCAAAGCAGAGACTTTTAATTAAATTAATATAACTCTTTTAAAAGTTAAACCAAGTACTCAGTCGTATTCATAATGCTTTTTTTTTTTTTTTTTTCCTTTTCTGCAGGTTGTGAGAGTATTATGCGGGTCACAGAGTAGCTAATCTACATATGCAAAAGTACTAGTGTACTTGATCTGTGTGTGTGTGTGTGTGTGTGTGTGTGAAAAGGGAAGATGGTTTGCGCTATTTTGTATTTTCTAATAAAAGATTTATATTTGCTGAGGTAAAAATGAACGATTATTCCCATAATAATATTTTTTTTTTTTGCGTGGGCTTTTATTGTTTTGGATTGTTGTTTACTCTGTTTTTGTATCTTTTGTTTTAATGGAAATATTCCTTCTCCAGTAGGGAAAAAATTGTACGGAATTTGAAAAATAATTCGGATTATTATAGTTAAAGAATACTGAAGCTTGATGGAGTTAAGTAAATTATTTTATTTTATTTGCTAATATGCATACATTTTTTCCTTTATTAAAATACACTCTCAATATATTCATATTTATTGGTCCAAAAAATATATTCATATTTAATTTTTTATCCGTTGAAGCACAAGTCACATGATACCGTTGTTTCAATATATATTATGAAATTTATTAAAACAAATTATTAATAATAAGCTAGGAAAATACAATTAATCTAAAACTCAATGCAAAGAAGGGAAGTCACATTCTAATTATTAAGACTATAGGTAGTAATTTTTAGGATAAAGTAGCATAAACTATTAGGTGATGTAAAATAAACTATCTATTAAAAAAAAAAAGCATCCAATGGCCCACCGTTAACTTGAATGGACAAATATCGCGTGAGCCCACAATGACATGTGGCACTCTATATTAGCATATATAAAAGTGTAAATTTAGCCATGAACTATTTTTTAAAGAGCATTGAGTAATTTTTACTATGAAAAACAAACCACCCAACATCTTCTCTTCAATTTTGATCAAACATTATTTATTTTTATACTTATGAAACTCATAATGCGTCAATCTCTCAAATCTTTTTACCTTCATTTTTAATCTCAGCTCAAAAAGAAGAGATTCACAGGGTTTTTATCTAAAAACATTTACAAGAATGATGCCAATGAAATAAAAGCTTGATTTTACTATGTGCGAAAGAAGCTTAATTCTAATATAATTTAGCCATGAGTTATTTTTTTTACTTTGTTGGCATCATCTTTGTAAATGTTTTTAGATAAAAACTCTTTAAATTTCTTATTTTCAAGTTGAAATTGAGAATAAAGGTAAAAAAATTGAAGAGATTGACATGTTATGACTCTCATAAGCATGAAAATAAATTATGTTTAGTCAAAATTGATGGAAAGGTATTGGATGGTCTATTTTTTATAGTAAAAGCTATCCAATGCTCATCAAAAATTAGTTCATAATTAAATTTACACTTTTACACATGCTGACATGAAGTGTCTATAGAATGTCACGTGTCATTATGGGTACCACATAATGTCCGTCCACTAAAGTTAACGGTGAGTTATTGGATGTTCTTTTTTTTTAAAGTTGATAGTTTATTTCACATCACTTAATAGTTTAAGTCATTAGATGCTCTTAAAAAAAATAAAACATAACTAAATTTACACAATTATCCTTAATTTGTATGCTGACTCCATCTCAATGGGCAATGGCCCTTGAATTATTAAAGTCCAGTTTCTTAAAAAAGAAGAAGAAATAGTTAGAACGCTTTGAACGGGCCTAGTGCAAGTAGGACTGCAGATGAAGCCCATTGAAGCATGAGACCAAAAATACTAAAGCCTAATCATCCATAACAAGCAATCAGATACTGGAGTCAAAATCAGAGAGTATGATGTCGGCAACCCATCAAGATGACGTCTCCAAAAAAAAAAAAAAACAAGGAGGAACGCTGCCATCTCGCTGCTCTAACATTCTATTTCGATCTCTACCAAACTCCTTTTTCGATACCTCATGTTTTCGCTTGTTGACATATCGTGGTCTCCAAGGTCAACTTTGTATTCTCCGACGACTTACTCCGTCCTAGTTTCTCCGATCGTATGTGAGAGAAGCCATGTCTAAACCTCACGTACTGATATTCCCATACCCAGCACAAGGCCACATCCTGGCCCTTCTCGACTTGACCTATCAGCTTGCTCTTCGAGGTTTATCCATAACCCTCCTTGTCACTCCCAAAAACCTCTCCCTCCTCCGCTCTCTCCTCCGTGCCCATCCTGTCGCCATTCAGACCCTTGTTCTTCCCTTCCCTTCACACACCAAAATTCCTCCCGACGTCAAAAATATCAGAGAACTCGGCATCGCTGGGAATTACTCCATGATCAATGCTCTTTCCAGCTTCATGACCCTATAATCCAGTGGTTCAAGTCCCACCCTTCACCCCCTGTGGCCATCATCTCCGACTTCTTCCTTGGCTAGACTCTCAATCTTTCGCATCATCTCGGAATTCCCAGAATCGTGTTTTACTCTGTGAGTGCTCTCTTGGCCTTGATTAACAACTCTTGCTGGGAAAATAAGCAAGTTGCTCGGGTTCAGAGAGTGATCGAGTTCTCTGTCATGTCCGGAACGCCGTCGTTCAAGGCAGAGCATCTTCCTTCTATAGTTCACAATTGCAAGAATCCAAACCTGATTCGGAGTTCGTGAGGGAGAGTTTTCTTGCGAATATCGCGAGCTAGGGTTGTATTTTCAATAGCATTCGAGCTCTAGATGATCAGTATATGGATTATTTGAGAACATGTTGAAACCTCATTGGGTCTTTTCGGTCGGTCCATTGACCTCGATAGGACCCGACAATGGTGGAGATCAAGAAAACCAATACCCAGATTTGTTCAACTGGCTGACGGGTGCCCCGACAAGTCTGTGTTGTATGTGGGCTTCGGGAGTCAGAAGTTGCTCAAACGAGAACAAATAGCAGTGTTGGCAGCCAGGTTGGAATGATCCAAGACCCGATTCATATGGGTTGTGAAATTGGGCGCTCCACAATAGGTGGAGGAAGGATACGACGCTCTGCCAGACGAGTTTGAGGATCGGATTTTCGGGCGGGGCTTCGTGATAAGAAGTTGGGTGTCCAAGGTGGCGATCTTGAATCACCGAGCTGTCGGCGAGTTTCTGTGTCATTGTGGGTGGAACTCGGTGTGGGAGGCCATAGCTGCCGGAGTTATGATTCTGGTGTGACCTATGGAGGCTGACCATTTCGTGAACGCTAAGCTCCTGGTGGACGACAAGGACGTCGCAGTGAGAGTGTGGGAAGGAGAGGATTCAGCGCACGACCCAAAAGAGTTGGGTAGGATTGTAGCAAGATCAATGAGTAGAGACAGTGCAGAAAAAGAAACAGCTAAAGCATTGAGAGACGAAGCTCATAACAGCGTAAGTCCGCAGGGAAAGTCTTGGAAAGAATTGGATGTGTTAGTGGAAGCCATAATAGAAGTTGGTGCACAAAAGATATCGTACTTGAATCTCTCTCTCTCACACACACAAATGGGTTTCAGATAAGTTGGCCCTGAATATTGCGTAAACAATAGCACATGTTAGTATTATGGCATGGGAAACTTGCATTCATGTGCAGTCTATAACAATAGAATCTGGACAGAAGTTAAAAGCTTCAAGGTTTGTGATTGTTGTGGATGTAATAGGGTATCTGATAACGTTGTTTGAATCTTCATGTTGGAGCTTCACTAGCAACTATATCCTTGGAGCCTATAAATGTATTTGATCCGAAGAAAGGGAAAATCTAATGTTGCTATCATACATCATTTTTGGCTGATAAAAACATAATATTCGTGTGACATAAAAGACAAAGTGATTCTAACATTAATAATTAATAGAGAAATAAAAGGCAAGAAATTAAATAGGTATTCTATTATAAAAAAGTCATTATAAATAATGACAAATAATATTTTATTTAATTGAATTAAAATAATTTTATTGAATGGATTATCAATGATATAGTGTATTAGGTCTATTCAAGAATTTCTCATCTAAAGTATAACTTCACACAATGTTTCCTTAAACACAGAGTTTCATAAGCAAATTAAATATGCCAACATTAAACCTTTAAAACATTGACAAAATATTTTCAAATATTGACATACTACCTCCATCTAAATTTATAAGATATTTTTTAAAATAATTTGATATCTCAAAATATAAGACATTTTTATCAAAAAAAAAAGATTTCATTAATAATGATTATTTCAATATCATCTCTTATTGTTTCATTCCTCAAATATATTTATTTTCTTCTCTTATTAATGAAAAGTATTTTTGAAAGTTTACAAAAAAAATTAATATTGTAAATTGTATTTAATGCACTTTATTAATATATGTAATTTTGTTAAAAAGATGTCTTATAAATTAGGACTAATAGAGTATTAAATGTAATTTTTAAAAACAATAATGATGGGCACAAGAAATATTTTTTGAAGCCAACATTGTTAGGGTGAAAAAAATGGAAAAATACCATATAAAATGAATAGACCAAAGTAAAGTCTCATATGAAATTAGAAGACTACTTTTGTCTAACAATTATATATATCCTAGAAATAATGCAGTTAGCCCTCCAATAGCTGAGAATATCATCATCATCAATATATCAATATTTAATGCATACACAAAAAATTTATAAGAAAGGATTCCATGCAAATGCTGGGGCGAGCAGCTATTAATCACTTTTTGAACTTTTGCCCCCGAAAAAAGGAAAATCACCTTTTTAACTACTAGAGGCACATTGGTGAAGGGCCTTGCAGGAATAGCACCAATATAATCTAACGATCAACATGAAATCTGGGCTTCGGTTAATGGGCTTAATGGAAGACATGCAATGAAATGTGGCCCATGGCCTGCTTTTCTAATGAAATTCAAATTGCTTAAACCCTACTGGCCGAAGCCTAAACCTGAACCCAATTATGAAACAGAATCTGACACAACGATTTGCTCTCTGCAGCCTGCAGGAATGAGGAACCTATTCCAGTGCTCAAATCCATGCTCCTTTTGATTATAAGTTATCAAGGTTTATATGCACTTGGAGTAAGTTAAACTAAGCTTAAATTTAGTTATAATTGGTCTTAAATTATGCTAAAATAATTTATACAGAAACTCATATCTTCTCTTAAAATTGTTAGGTAGGTCCTACTTCAAGTTGGTGATTAAGAGTTTGAATCTCAATTCTTGTGTGTATGTAGTAATTTAGTTCAAAGATGCCTGTCAATTGCTCTTAGAAAACAAAATAGATGAGGAAAAAAATAGAGAATGAAAAATATCTTGCAAATATCAATTTAAATAATTGAGAATTCAAAAGTTCTAATTATAAATAAAATATTTAAGTTCTAAATGTAGCTTTTAAGTATTTGTATTTCATTTTTCAAAAAATTTTGTTGGGATTTAATTGTCAATGATTTACTAATCTTTTACCCTCCACAGTCATTCTCCAAAAATACACAAAAATCAAGACAAGCAGTACAGTTCATGGATTTCAGAACAGTGCCAATGTCCTTCAACATGTTTTAATATATTGAGGGCCACACCGCAATGAAATAGCAAATGGACATGCGGGTCCTGATAACGCTTGGGCCAACTTGCAAGTATTGCCAATAGTCATTTGCAAGTTTCAGTTTTAAGAAACAAATAAACAAGAAAAAGCAGTACTAATAATAGCCACACGTTTATAATTAAAGCCAAAAATATCATTTCATGCACTCCAAGTTGGATCTTCCTTGCAGCTCAGTGCCTCTCACACCTCATATATACCTGCTCTTTGTATATATTTGTTATTGTTCGCCTCCACAATTCATGCACATGAAATATCATCCATCATCCATGTACCCACAAAGAAGACGACCTTGCTTTCAGGCTTGACCATTCATGATCTGACAACGGCTTTCCAACTTGTAATACCATTAGTTTTGTTTTCAAGACAAGATTCTGAGCAGATCAAGTGGTATATGTTTTAAAACTAAAGAGGAAGTAAAGGTAATTTCAACAAATCTAAAAGTGATTCAGGTGATTTACCTTTTAATCATGCAGAAAAACCTAAACTTCAATCAAGAGTTACTGCAACAAAAGAATTGTCAAGTACAAGCATTTGTCTTCATAACTTTATTCTTATCTGTGACTGATTCACGTGAAAAAATTCATTCCTTGACTCACTTTCATACTCTAATTCAGATACATATCAACACCTGTATGCTTCCTTGTTCACAGGAAGCCAGACACAAACTATTTAAAACGTTGCATAAGTACCTTTCTTTGCTTTATCAGATTTTATGTGAACGTCAAGACAAAGCTTTCATGCATATTTTGATATTTTATTATTTTTTTGAAGGAATTCAGATACCATGTCTAAGAAAGAACCAACTGATCCAAAAAAAAACCTGTTGTATTTTATCTTCAACTCAAATCTACCTGTAAGAATGTGAGTTAGGCTATCTATTTTATATACTATAATTGCATATTGCCTTGAGCTCCGATTATTTCCCTAAATGAAGAAATTTACTTTCACTTTTGCTTTGAGATTAAATCAAGGAAGCGACCAGACAAGTCCAAGTCTCACACTTGCTTTGTCTTTTCCTCCTCTGATACAATCATTATATCTTAAATCCCAAACCATGAAAAAGCTTGGCGTTAGGGGACCCTTAAATGAAAATATTAATAGAATATGAAAGAAAAGATGGCTATAGATTAGGATGCCACTTCATCAAGCTCACTTTTCTATACCCGCGCTCAGACCAATCTCTGATAATGCAACGCCTTAACTACTATTTTCCTGTACATGATCATAACTGTGCCAGGGTAACCATAGTCAAACAAACTAGATAAGCTATGACAGAAAAATCCTGGCCGGCCCACAGATGTTGCTGTTGGAATTTAGAAAATCATTGATCAGTACCTCCACCAATTTTCCATGTCTATCCTGTTTTCTAGCTAACTTGATAAATTAATTGTTGACAATGACATTCTAAACCTCGCAAGATTTACTCCACCACACTGTTTCAGGCTCATTTCATTGAGTCAATCACGAAAATTTTATAATCTTCTTTTACAGACAAGCATAAGTTTTTTTTTTTTTTAAGAAAAAATAGGATTGGCTTTTAATATATTTACATATTCATTTACTGGAGTATAACTGAATCTAAGAGAGAAAAAGAGTAGCTCTGTTTTTAACTCTCTGTTTGATCCCATTCTATCCATGGGCAGGAGAGTTGAAGAGATAGAAGATTGCATTGAAAACTAATTAAGAACCAGAAGATTATAAGAGTTTATCCCTTCAACTTATTCAAAAGCCAAACAAGGATTTAATTTGGTGCAGTCATTGGTGGGACCATTTTATGTGATGTTTTTTCAATTGGTTGTTAATATCTTGCTAGCTGCTTGTGTCAGCATCGGCAGCATTTGTATGCAGCTCTTTGCTGTGTTGTTAATTCAGCATGACCATGACATAAGACAAGACTCTAATTCATTCCAAAACAAAGCTTAGTCACACACAGGGAAATATCGAGTTTTTAAAAAATAACTTTCTTTTATCTTCGTAGCGTACACCACAAGGAAAGAAAATTCAAAATTGTATTATTTGCTGCATGCGACGGCAGAAAAATGACGCAGATATTGCATGGCAGCCAGTTGTATTTACAGAGGGCGCGGTGAGCAGTCTATGTGATGGCATATGCAAAATGAGTGAGCCGGACTTGTGAAGTGACCCCACCACAGATGGCTACAAAAAAAATCCCTTGTTTTGATAATTTTGATGGGACTTTAAAATAGACAACAAGTCTCTTCAAGGTGGTTTAGGATAAGAAAGTCACTAAATGCTTCATATTCATTTTTAAGTATTCACTATTCAGGGACCAAGTTGTGCTGAAGGTATGTTTGGTTAAAGCATTTTCAAAGTCTGTTGTCTTTGCTACAATAGATATTCTTACAGGTACGTCGTACACAGCCAAACTAGTTGACAGCAATATGCTGATGTCACAAACGCAGAACCAGATTCATATACTTTTATCCGTTACCAATCATTCCAGCCAGAGAGCAAAGGAGTTTCCCAGTGAAATGAAAGTAAATGCATGATCAAATTAAAACAAAAGGGAATACAGAATTCGTTATATACATAAGTTTCATTTCACGATTTTATTCTACAAATGATTTATCGAACAGATCATAAGATGATCCTGGAGGGAAAAAAGAAATGAAATCATAAAATCAAAATGCAGCAAACGCTTCCCGGCAAACAAGATAGCAATTGCTAACGTATTTACAACAGTTCTTCCCACCCTCACTCCCAAATACAAGCACTCATCACAGTCTTATAAGCAAGATATATCCTACAATCCCTCAGTCCGAGATACCTAAGCCTCTTGTTCTTCATTCTTAAGTCCTTTATCATAGCAAGGCCTTGCTCAACTTCAAAACTGGCAGGAAGTACCAAGCCTCTGTCTCTGCTTCTGACCTAAGGTTATGGATTTCCTTTTGGCAAATGCTGGATACAAAAGCTCTTGAAACTTCTCCTGAAACACTGCCCATTGTTCATCACTCATATCAGCTAGCTTCACAAAGCTTATGCTTGCAGGTAGCTGCTCATTGGCACTCCTATGCCCAGAGGATGCATTTGCAATATAGCCATTATCCGCTTTTGTTCCTGAATATTTTTGGGTTTTCTCCCCTAACATAGTATTTTTCAGTGACACAGAAAATTTTGAGACATTTTGGATTGTTTGAGAGGAAAATGTGGCAAACCCTGATGGATCTTCCACATCACTTTCTTCCTCTCCCTCTTCAATACTTTCATCAAGTTTGGATAGCGGGTTGCGACCATGTCCACTCCCAAATCCATGTTGAAAAGTTGCTATGGTTAGAGGATCATCCAAAGCCAACTTGGGAGAAAAATCAAACCCAAATTCATCACAATCTATCTCAAACTGGAATTCCTGATCTCCCAACTCAGTCCTTGGAGATAGTTCCTCCCTCTCTGCAAGCATCTTCCTCGCCTCCAAACATACTACCTCAAGTTCACTGGGTTCCTCTTCACCCCTGCGGAACTCCCTAGTCATCATTTCACCAATCTCAGCAAGACATAGACCAAAATCAGCAGCCTGCTTAAGAAAAGTAGTGCAGAGTACCAAGACTCTCAGACAAGCCTCTCGTATCATGGGCAGTTCCCTACGAAGCATCACACAATCTTGAGCAGGATCAAGATTTTTATGTAAGTGAGCTCATCTTCAGTGAATGGAATCGAAGCCTGGGGCCAATGAATCCACTCAAAGTATGGATCCTCCAAAGCTTCAGGTAGGCAAAGCCCATGATCAATAGGAATGAGCTCCACCTGCCCAAATGTCCCCATGCTATCATGCTTTTTGACCAGCAAGTTTCCACCATGCCTATCTGTGTTGAGAATCCTAATGTCCAATATCCCTATACGATGCACAGAAGCAACAGGAAAGCTAGAGGTCCCATGATCACTGGCATCAAAATCATGTGGTATGAACTGTTGGCAAGATGCAATTTTGCTTACCAAATTCTTCCCCCGAGTATTAGTCCCATTGACCCCATCATTGACATTGAAGATCGAGTGAGTAATCTTAACCAAGGCAGTTGGAGGCACATTTGCAAAATGATCGTGATCAAGCAGATAAGCTGCAACTTCCCTGAACCCTGTCTCCCCTACCCTTACTGAGCGTTTCAAACCTGGCTGTCCAAGTGCTTTACCAACAAATCCTTTCGGATTGTTTGGGGCAAAAGGCTCCTCATCTGTTGGTTTCACAATGGCCACACTCTCACCTTTACTGTTCCGGAAATAGTATGCACCTCCAAGACCACTATGAACAGGGATTGGATCAATCCCCCTCCTAATTGCCTTCACAGTGTCCTTGACCAGTTTTTTCATTCTATCCAGGCGATCTGATTGCCCCAATATCTCAATAGGACCACTCTTGTCCCTCTGCTGGATATCCCTTCCAACGGGAGACAAACAAGGAGTGGATGAGCTTCTGTGCATTTGATTCCTAGTAAGAAGAAGTGGAGAATCATTTCTTACAGCACTAAGGTCATTCTTCAGAATAACGTCCCCAAAACTTAGTGAGCTCTCTTCTGTTGGAACATTAAGGGCAAGCTGCAACCTCCTTTTCAAAGTGTGAGCATTGTCTCTCCGATCCAATTCCATGCCAAGGACACAGCCATTTTCTGTTTGCACAAAAACTCGTCTCCTCCCAGCAGGTTGCCTCCCTTCGATTCTGCTGTTTCCATGGTACTCCCCACTGTGGGGACTCCTCATCAGTGCCACAGCCATCTGAGTTTGAACAGGGCTGTCCAACTTTTGAGACATCAACTGAATGAAGCAAGAATGATGGCGGAAGAAAGCTTCTTCCCTCCCCAGAAATCGGCAAGCTGGCCCGAGGAGATTGTGTAAGGCCAAGGTCTTGTTCCCCAACGATCATTAATCAGAGCCTTCGAATGAAAATTTTGGAGAACGAATTCAGGATTGGAGATAGAAAAAAGATGCAGGGCGATTACTATATTGAGGAGGCCATCATGCCCGGGTAGCAAAACACAAAATCTGCACGAGCATGAAGATTTAATCAAAATTCACATTACAGCCATCATTAAAGTAAATCTATACATAAATTCCCGTTCAGTTCAATCAATTCAAAGTAAATCTATGCAGTCCTTATTTAACTTTCGCACGCACTTGCACAACTATATCGTGAACAGATAATTCATCATTCATGCTTCTGTAAGTCCTGATAATTATAGAAAGTTCAGGACAAATAGTAAACGCATCAGTTTTGCATCTAATAGCTGATAAAATGAGCCTTGCATAAAAAATTTGCGAAACGTCCTCAATAAAACCATCGATCATTTAACGCTTAAGTTTAAGAAGCCGCAAAGCACGGAAAGAAATTCATTGAATAAATTAAAGAATCCTGTTCAGGTGCTTAGAAATCCCAAAAGTATAGAGAGACTGAAAGACCCAGCTTTAGATAAGCCACCATCATTTGTACCCAAAAAACCGAAGACATAAAACAAGAAACAGCTTCCCACCAAAACAAAAGAAACAAAAAAGTTCGAGCCAGGGACAGCTAATTTGATAGCTTCATAAAAACGAGAATCAACCCAGTTCCCTCCTTCAATGAAAGAAAGGGCTCAGATATTTTGGGAAAGAAAAACATCCGTATAAAATTGTTGAAATGCAAATACTCTATCAACGAGCTATAAGACATCCACGGGTAAAGACAACTTTATTGAGCAGGAGCAACGAACTCACCACAATGCGAGATCTGAACATGAAAAAAAAACTAAATCCCCGAAGTTACGGTGGCCAAAAAGTGGAGGCGGAATCACAAGAAGAGTGGCCGAGGAGGAAGGAACCACAAACCCAGTGCGAGTGTTCAGACCGTACAACGCTAAGGACTCGTTCGAGTTGACTCGGACGATTCTGTGTACAAGCAAAAACCCAAAAGGGAACTCACTCACTCTCTCCGACCGTCCTCTAAACCAACGTTTCGATCGGGTTAATATACCACCAACATGACGAGTCTCTTTTTCTCTCACGTAAACTGAGCCTAGAGGAGGAATCTAGAACGAAGACAAATGACCGCTGGATATAGGAATGGAAGTAGATCTAGGCCGTCGGATGATCTAAGGGACTGGGAAGGGTTGACGTGGAGATAAAGGAGTGGAAGACGACGTGGCGAAGAGTCAGAGGGGAGTGTAGTGTATTACAATATTCAGATTTCTCTGATGATCCTCGTTTCTGTCAAGGCGGACAGACTCAGAGCCTATGGATTTGGGCCTAGTTGGGCCCCACAGGGCACTTTTCAGATCTGATCGTACGGTGTGGATTGAATCATCGAATGCTGATCGGATGCTTCTGGGGCATTTTTGATTACCGGCTAGTTTGGGCATTATTGTTACTAGAGTGAGTAATTTGAACGGGATGAATTTATTTAAATTAAATTTAAAATATTTCATTTTTTAAAAAGTACATATAATTAAGTTCAATCTTAATTTTTTTAGTCACCAAAATTACCCAATATAAGTTCAACAATCAGGTTTATTTGAATAAGGTTCAATTTCAATTAAACTTAAAGTATTTTATCCTTTTAAAAAAGTACATATAGTTAAATTCAATTATAACTTTTCTGAGGCAAATGCAAGTTAACTTGTCGAGTTTATCTCGAATTACCTACTCTACTTATCAACTTGAGAAGACGAAATCAACGACTTAAAAAGTGACAAAAAATGATCAGATGGCTCATCTTGATCATGTCCTGGGCGATGACCGCGTTCCACATCCATATAAAGAAATTGCTTCTTAGCATAGACTCACCCTCCAAATGTAGAGCTAAAAAAATAGGCTAACCCAACTCTAAAGAGCCAGCCCTTGATGGGCTCGGGCCTAAAAGAGTCGAGCTTAAAAAGTTCATTTTTTTTTAGGTACCAAATTCCAGGGCCTGGCCCTTGAGATAGCAAGCTCAGGGCCGGCTCTACAAACTTCAAGTCCTATTATCTATTTTTATTTTTTTATCAAATTAAATAGTAATACTCCATTTTATTCCATAACTCAAAAATCTCATACCAGTATATAAATCAAGAGTACAACCATATCAATAAATAAAATGACACAATCAAAATAAAACAACTAAATAAACCATAAATGCAAACAAAATTGATAGCATCAGAATGATCAAATGAGATAAATCATAGACATAAGTCTGACTAAGAGCAAAATTGAGAATACGGGAAGAACAAGGAAAAGCAAATCAGACTACGGTTCTATTCGAGCAAGAGGCGGACTTGAGAGATGCTATCGTTTAAGTTTTTAAGCTTGGCGAAACACTATCACAGTTGAAAGAGCACAATGAAGCATGGTCGCAGATAGAGGACCATTGTTAGGATTTGGAAGATGCTATCAATAAAAAGAAATGATGAGAGACGAGCACAATTCACGTGAACAAAAGATAAATCGTAGAGGGGCAGAATCGGTGAAATGTAATTTGAAAAGTTAAGTTAGGGAATTTAGGGTTAGTTGTTATTTTTTTAATGTTTTTTCCTTCCTTACAAATATACGCTAACATCTACAGATAGATCATGTTTAAACATTTTTTTAAGTTCAAATGTCTATCAAAAGTTAATGATTTGAATAAAAAAAATTTAAATACAAAAATAATGTTATATAAGCTTAAATGGGCTAGCCCTTTAGGGCCAGCCTGTTTATTTTTAAACCTATTAGGGCCAGCTCGTTTAAGTTCGAATTACATTTGAAGGGTCCTAATTGTAAGCCTAACCTTCCAATTAAACAAGTTTAAATGAGCTAGCTCGACAGGCTGGGCCCGTATCCTCGGCTCTATCCAAATAGCGAGGATCATGGATCATGATGATATTTTCAATCTCACAAATTATAATAAATGTGTCTTCATACTTTTTATAATAATTGATAATTTTTTGGGTGGGAAGACAAGCCTATTTTTAAATGAAAATGAAAAATAACTAAAAATTTTATTGATATATGAAATATAATTGGAAGTGTTTACTCCCTCCATTAAAAAATATAAAGTATTTTTTGAGAGGTTGAATATTTAAAAATGTAAACAATTTTAGTCTTTCGAGATGTAATCATTGTCTTTTTTTTTAAAAAAGTACCCTTATTAATGAATGACTTTATATTTATTATAGGATGTTTAATAGGGGTAAATATAAAAAGATAGGGTTAGCTTAAAAGTATGTAACTAATTTATTGAGAGGTGAAATTCGTTTAAAAATACTTTACATTTTTAAACAGAAGGAGTAATAATTTATAGTCAAAAAAAGATTAGTTATTATGATTTACAAAGTGGTTTCTTTTTTAGGGAAAAAATTGTATAGGGTATTTTAGTCTCTAAAAAGAAGATTTTCTACGTAATTATATCGTGGATTTTGTTATACTAAGTTGACTTAGTTCAGTTAAATAAACCTCAACATAATTATATTGTGGATTTGAATGAAGATACTAACAAAAAGCAAGAACAACAGACCCTTTCTCATCCTCAACCTGCAATGAGAAACTTAGTGATGAATTTGTCTCGAGCTTGAAAAAGCCACTAGATCCTGCCTGAGTATCAGAAATCACAACCTTAACGAAGGAAGGCACGAAGAATGTGAAATGCTAGTACGAAACTACAGTTGATGTACAAGAGGGTATGATGGATGATGATGCAGAGGTTCAAATCTAGGGATCTCATATCTAAGCATATGTTTCTTGTGGTCACAACTCTAATTATTTTATTATGAATTTTATATCTTGAAATTGTAAAGGCACAACCACTAAACTTTACTGGGTAGACTTTGTGATTTAATGAGAAATAAGGAAGTGGACCTAATAATTTTAATTGAACCTCGAGTGAGTGGAAGAAAGGTTGATAGAATTATTTCGAAGTTAGGCTTTAGTAATTGAATACATATTGAATCTATGAGTTTTTCTCGAGGGGTTTAGCTATTATGAAATCAGGATGTCTTCTTAATTCAGCTAAATAAATCCAATATCTCCATGTTTAGGTTTGTGAGAAGGCAAGCCAATTTACTTTTTTGGATGACTGTGATTTATGTAGAGACTTGTATGTCTAAACGAAAGGTGTTATAGGATAACTTGGTGAACATTAGTGATTATATGAATGACTCCTAGATAGTTTTAGGAGATTTTAATACGTATCTCTTGGTGGAAGATAAAATAGGGGGTGCTCAACTAAATTTCACTTCTACGTATATAATGATCCTAACTCCAAATAACTGACTGTGTTGGAGATAAATTCACTTAAAATGTAATTGATTAAAGGAAAGAATTGATTGGGTGCTGATGAATCAAAACTGGAGCTTAAAATTTCCTCAATCCTTGGTATATCATCTCCCTAGATTTGGGTCAGACCATAGACATCTTTTTGTTAGAACATCTTGGAGCCAACCTTCCTAAAAATGTAGTCCTCTTTTTAGATGTCAAGCTACCTAGCTTTTAGAAGAGGATTTCTTTGAACTTGTCAAGAATTCTTAGATAACAGGTATTTGGAAAGACAAAATTAAAAAATTTAAATAGGAAGCAAAGGTTTGGAATGCTAATAAGGTGGGAAATCTTTTCAAGAAGAAAAAAAAACCTACTACATAGAATTAAAGGAGTGGAGAGATGTCGCAGTAGAAGAGATAACTTATACCTTGCGCAAACTGAGAAGGATCTTTGGAATGAATATAATAAGGTTATTTGCCAAAAGGAGCTTCTTTGATTTCAAAAATTCAGGAGCCAATGGCTGAAATAGGGAGACAAAAATAGAAAATACTTTCATGCTTCAACCTTTCTCGCCACAGAAGAAATAGAATTGAAGCTTTAAAGAATTCTAGGGATGAATGGATCTCGAATCAAGATGATTTGAAGAGTTTAGTTGTGGAATATTATAAGAGTTGTTTGAAAGCATTGGTATGCCCATTCTTTTCAGCCTCTCAAGAAATTCCTTTCCTATGTTGACAAATGCAGAATTAGGAAATATACACAGAGACATTAATGACAAGGAAGTCAAAAAGGCTACCTTTAAACTAGGTGCTTTTAAGGCACCGGGACCATATGGGATCTAGCCCTTCTTTTATCATGAATTTTAGGATGTGATTGGGAAGGATATTTGTAAGATGGTTAAGGATATGTCCCGGCAAACTTGAGACCATTAATGACACTCACTTGGTGCTCATTCCAAAAGTGGATATACTAGAGTCTATGAAGGATTTTAGACTGATTACTTTATGTAATGTCAGTTATAAAATTATCACAAAGATTTTGTGTAGATGATTGAAACCAGTTATGAGCAAATTAGTGGGTAGGCATCAATGCAGCTTTATCTCCAGAAGGCAAAGTAGTGATAACATAATAGTGGCTCAAGAAGTGATTCACTCTATGAAACTTACAAAGAAAAAAAAAGGATGATGGCAATAAAGGTAGACTTAGAGAAAGCTTATGATGGCTTGGAATGGAACTTCATTCTTGAAACCTTGAAAGAGATTAGGTTAAATACCCATATGTGTGAACTTATCATGGGTTGTATATAAAGCTCTTCAATGCAAGTCTTATGGAATGGTGGAGCTACTAAAAGCTACAAACTAACACGTGGAATTAGGCAGGGAAACCCCATATCCCCTTATATTTTTACTCTGTGTATAGAATGTCTTAATTGTGTCATCATGGATGTAATAGAGGATAGAGATTGGAATTTGATTATGTTGACTAGGGATGGTCCAAAGATATCTCATTTATTCTTTGTGAATGATTCGATTTTGTTTGGGGTAGCTAATTCTAGCCAAGTTGATTGTATAAATATATGCATGGAGAAATTCTATCAAGTTTTGAGACAAAGCATAAAGAAGACTAAAACAAGAGTTTGTTTCTCTCAAAATGTCAATTTCAATAGAGCCTATGATCTTAGTAAAAGACTGGGGGTTAGACTTATAGCTAATTTAGGTAAGTACTTGAGTATTCCACTTTTACACACGAGAGCAAGTACTATGACCTTT